CAGCACCATGAATTAATTCATCATCATCATCATCATCAACTCACAATCATAATTATCACCATCGTGATCAACTCATCATCACCATCAGATCAACTCACATTCATACTCATCATCAAAATCACCAGCTCAGAACCATGATCGTCATTATCAAGCCATCATCCGTATCATCAAAAATACGTCATTATCCATTCATCACCATCGCCAACCCATCGCCCCCCATTCATCATCAGATATCCATCACCACCCATGTGTCCTCATTACCCATTCACCATCATCAGCAACTCATCATCATCATCAACTCATTATCATTACCATTATCACAACTATGTATAATCATGATCACCACCATCGACTTATCACCACGTATCCGTCGTCAACAGCTCATAACCCGCAGCGTCAGCATGATCAACTCATCGTCATCACCATCAACGCATCAGCATCGGCATCTGCATCATCATCATCATCATCATCATCATCATCATCATCATCATCATCATCATCATCATCATCATCATCATCATCATCAACTCGTCATCGTCATCATCAACTCATCGTCCTCATCATCATCACGATCATCAGCAGCAGCATCATCACCATCATCATCATCCTCACCATCATCATCATCATCATCATCATCGTCATCATCATCATCATCACCATCATCATCATCCTCACCATCATCATCATCATCATCATCATCGTCCTCATCATCATCATCATCATCATCATCATCATCATCATCATCCTCACCATCATCATCATCATCATCATCATCATCATCATCATCCTCATCATCATCCTCATCATCATCATCGGGGCCGCGGAGGCCTGCATGAGCGGCGTCCGCCCCGCGCAGTCGCACGCCTGCCACTCGGAGGGAGGCACCCCGCGCGGTGCCGTGGGCGGCGCGGGTCGAGGTCGGCATCGTCGTTGCCGTCGTCGTCGTCGTCGTGGTCGTCGTGGCTGTCGTCGCCGTCGTCGTCGTCGTCGTCGCCGCCGTCGTCGTCGCCGTCGCCGTCGCCGTCGCCGTCGCCGTCGTCGTCGTCGTCGTCGTTATCGTGGTCGCGGTCGTGGTCTTGGTTGGGGTCGTCGGCGCCGTCGTCGTCGTCGCATCCTCATCGTCATCACCTTCGGTGGCAACTCACGGGAGCCTCTCATACCATCATGTTGCTTTCCCCGAATCGACGCCAATCCACGCTAATCGACGCAAGAACGACGCTAATCGACGCTCATCGACGCTAGTCGACGCCAATCGACGCTAATCGATACTCATCGTCGACGCTAACGCACTCTAAAGACGAAATCACGAGGGTATATGAAGCTCCCATCGGGGAGAAGTAAGATTCGGGTTCGGGGGACTCGGGTTGGCCTGACGGGGCCATTATGAAAATGACGAGACCCAGTCTGAAATTGGACGCGAACTCCAGCTGCAGACGCACAACCAAAAAATGGACCGTCAAGATCCAGGACACGCCCGCCAAAAAGCGTCGGCAGACCCGAGTTCTGGCGTACTCGATTCTTACGTCTGCCCGATCACATGATTCGCTAGGAAATCGGGCCTAGGACAGAAGAACATCCTTCAAGAAAATGAGACCCTCCGCCGGCCAAAGCACACAAACATCCAAGGGTACCCTCCCCAGGGCGCACAAGAACATCCAACAAGCACGAAGAGCACGAGGGTGCCCTCCCCGAACCGACCGCGTCCCCATGCCTCGGTCTGACTGCACCGAGATCGCCCGTCGTGGCCAGCATCACTCGGCGGCGCGGCCCAAGGGGGGGAAGACAAAGGGCCCGGGCCTCCTCGGAAAGGCTCCGAAGAGTCCTCCGGGCCCTCCGAGAGGCTCTCTGCAAACCGTCTCCGATGCCGCAGGGGGGGCTTCTCGGAAGGCCAGAGGGCTCCTGAGCTTCTGAGAAGCCGCGTCGCCTTCTAGGAAGGCCTGGCCCCTCTGACTTCCCCCCTCGGCACGCCGCCGGATCATCCTCGTCATCATTCTCACCCTCCCCATCATCGCCATCACCATCACCATCTTGAGCGACAGCAGCAACGTTCAGGAAGGGCGGGGGATGGAAGGACGACGGAAGGAAGAGGATCATGAAAAGACAAAGGGGACGCATTTGTCAAAGATCCCCCCAAAGAAGTCTGTTCCCAGATTGATGCCATTTGGGTCATATCGATGTCAGGGCCACTGCAAACCATGACCCGAGGGGCTTCACTTGGATCAAGACAAGGGCTCACCATGGGACATATCGAATCTTGCTGGGATCGGTATGGCCCAAGGTGGCGCCTGAGTGATTCGAGCGGTACACGACGAACCGTTTGCATGGCAGCGCGACGGCAGAGAGAGAATCGTGCCAAGTGGGAACGACAAATTCGTGTGGTGACGACTTCAGCCACCGCGTGGATTTTAAACCTTAAGTGGCCGCAGATTCGCAATAACGCAGACCGTTCGATATTGGCTGGTTCGAGACCACTGGCGGCTTTCAATCTTGAACGCCCTTGCTCGCCGCCGCGTCGACACAACACGAGCCTGCCGCAATGATGGCACCATTGCAAACAATACAACCAACCCGGTACCACTTCGACCGCATCGGAGCCTCCTGGGATCGATACGGCGCAGGTCGTACCTCCCGACGGTCCACGGTCCAGGCACTGTGGTGGCTATGGCCGAACGCCGCTATACAGCCACCGTGCCGCAGGCACGTAGTTGAGCGTCCCAAGGCTCATACAGTTGTGAGAATTCGAAAGGTTGCAGGTCCTTACAGGCCCAGACGACGAATTTCCCAGAATTGCCGGGCGCTCCCTTGCGCTCTGGGGCGCTCCTGGGAGGTGGCTCGTGCGTGTCAGGCCCGATGAACCCGCCCACAACAACCCCACGAACCGCCAAGAGACTCCCGAGAAGCACCCAAGAGGGGTCCTAGAGAGCGCCGAGACTGCCCATGACGGCCCAAAGACAGCCCACGATGGACACAAGAGGTCCCCGATACGCTCAGTACGCTACAAGAAGGCGCCAAGAGGCCGACTGAGAGGGCATAGGCAAGTGTCAACATTTGTCCGATAGAAGTTTGTGAAACAACAAAGAAACATTCCACCATTTCGAAATTTCGACGCTCCAAGACGGCCTGACAAGCCCCAAACATCGCCACAAGACGGCCTCTTGGGCTGTCTTCAAGCCATGTTGGACCAATTTTGAAACGCTCTGGTGCGGTCTTGGGCTCTCTTGGAGCGCTCTCGGGCCCTCTCGTCGCCCCCCTTCCCCTCCTTTGACGCGTTCTGGCGCCCCCGGACGGGTCTTAAACGGTCGGATACGAAATCAGTGCACTCCGGGGCCCGCGGGACCCCCTCCCCATTCATAATTATATGTATGTATGTATGTATGTATAGACGTGTGTATGTATGTGGATGTAGATGTGTCTGTATATCAGATTACATGTATATGATATACGTATGTGTGCGTGTATATGTCTATGCAATGCATATGTATATGCGCATGTGCATGTATGTGATTATATGTGTGTGTGCATGTGTATGCACTTGTTTATGAACGTGGTTATGCACATGTGCAAATAAATGTATATGTATGTGTATATGTATACATATGCGTGCATTTGAATGTGTGTAGGTGTATACGTATGTGTAAGTGTATGTGTATGAGTATATGAATATGTATATATGTGCATGTATAAGTAAATTATTGTGTACATGTATATGAAAATGTGCATGTACATGTATATACGCGTGCATATGTATATGCATGTGGAAATGTGTGTGAATGCGAATGGGAATGTGTATATGTACATGCACGTGTAGATGTATATGTAAATGTATGTGTAAATGAATATGTGCATGTATCCATGTATGTAGATAGGTAGGTAGGCGTATGTGTATGTACGTGTTTATGTCATGGATGATACCAGAGAAAAGCCCAATCATAGTCTTTTTTAGGGCTATAGGGCTATGGGGCGATTGGGCTATAGGGCTATGGGGCTATGGGGCTATAGGGCTATTGGGCTATAGGGCTAGAAGGCCGTAGGGCTATACGGCTATAGGGCTATAGTGCTATAGGGCCATAGGACCATGGGGCTGTAGGGCTGTAGGGCTATAGGGCTATGGGGCTATGGGGCTCTGGGGCTATGGGGCTATAGGGCTATCGAGCCATAGGGCTATAGGTCTATAGGGCTATGGGGCTATAGGGCCATAGAGCTATAGGGCTATAGGGCGATAGGGCTATGGGGCAATAGGGCGATAAGGCTATAAGGCAATAGGGCGATGGGGCTATAGGGCTATAGGTCTATAGGGCTATAGGGCTATAGGGCTATAGGGCCATGGGGCTACAGAGCTATGGGGCTATAGGGCTATTGGGCTATAGGGCTATAGGGCTGTAGGGCTATTGGGCTGTAGGGCTATAGGGTTATAGGGCTACAGGGCTGTAGGGCTATACGGCTACAGGGCTATAAGGCTATAAGGATATAAGGCTATAGGGCTGTGGGGCTATAGGGCTACTGGGCTATAGGGCTATTGGGCTATAGGGCTATACGGCTATACGGCTGTAGGGCTATTGGGCTATGGGGCTATAAGGCTATGAGGCTATAGGGCTATGGGGCTATAGGGCTATTGGGCTATAGGGCTATTGGGCTATAGGGCTATTTGGCTATAGGGCTATAGAGCTACAGGGCTATTGGGCTGTAGGACTATGGGGCTATAAGGCACCCGGGCACCCAGGCACTCGGGCACCCGGGCACCCGGGCACCCGGGCGGGCCGCGGAAATCGGTGGCAAACCTCACCTAACCATATGAATCCGCTAGGACCCCTACAGAGGCAATCTCTGTTTGGGGAATACCAGTTTATATGAATGTGTGTTCTCTCTCTCTCTCTCTCGGAGACGCACGCGCACACAAGCCGTTGGAACTCATCAGGAAGCTGGGGGGACAGACCCAGAGACGAGCAGCGGTGGAAGCACGGCGCGACAGGTGAAAGGCGTGCAGGTGCGGGATGGAGAGGCCGCAGATGGTCTTGGCTCGGGGTGCGCGCCAGCATGACCCGCACGTCACCAGCCGATCGGCCTGGGCGGTGCTAGCGCTCCCTATCAGCCGAGCGGCCGCGATTGCCTCGTGGACTCCGAGACCTGTGAAGGAGCGGGGCAGGGGCACGCCGACTCGGGCAACAGAGGGCAGGGGGGCGTCTATCTCATCAACGACACCTTCTGCGCCTTCTCGATATCCATGTAATTCAGCCTGGCGCACCCCAGCACCTGGCGGAACCAAGGGGCCCCGGTGCCGCTACTCCTCGCACCTCTCTGGGTGCGTCCTGCCCAGAATGC